TGTGTTTTCATTTCCCTTTCGACCCAGACTCTTAAAATCTCACTCTGGCCCATTCTTATACACCCCTCCCCCCTTTCCTTCTCCCCTTACTTTCCTTGGCCACCCCTCCTCTCACCCCTCAACCCTTGACATGCACCGCCTCGCGAGACTACCACCCCCCTACCCCACCAAGTCGCCATCTGTAACTCTTGGTATGTTAGTCATGCAAAATCTTCCTCTCTCTCCCTTTTGCTCTCACTCTCCGTCTTTTGCTCCTCTTCCTTCCCTTCCCCCCCTCTCCATTTCTCTTTTGACATATACACTTCTTCCACTTCCACCCGGCACTCCCTCACACTTTCCACCCTCACCATACCCACGAATTCGATCTCGTACTCAGCCACCCCCTGCTGCACTTACACCCTTTCTTCTCCAACGCGGCCTTGTGACAAAGGAATCTTGCGAGGGTGTCAGGCGGGTAGGGGCGGGTAGGGACGGGTAGGGGATGGTAAGGGGAAGGAGGGATGACAGGAGATAGGGGGCAAAGTGATGGGGATAGGGAGGAGAGGAGGTATTGGACAAAGAGCAGGGGTAAAGAAGGGGGAGGGGGGTTGTGGTTAGTGAGGAAAAGAGGGGAATAGTGGGTAGGGGGCAAGGGAAGAGGGAGGGGGTAGACGGTAGAGTGATGGAGGACTGGAGAAGGTGGTGTTTGAAAGTTGGGGGGAGGGGAGTATCCATGAAGGCTAAATGCACTTTAAGCAGCAGAAGGACGGAGAGAGGAAGGGTGGGAGGGGGAACGAAGGGAGAAGGTGGGAGAGACAGGAAGGAGGAGGGAAGAGAGACGAGAGAGAAGGGAGAGAGGAAGAGAGAAGAGGAGGAAGGAGGGGAAAAGAGAGGAGAAAGGAGAAGGAAAGAGAGGAGAGAGAAAGGAGAGAGAGAGGAAGTGATGAGGAAGGTTATGCAACATATGACAACGTGCAAAGCCGTACATCATCCATTGTGCGACGAGGGGTTAAGGGGGGGGGGAGGAGGTACTGAGGTTACACATACCGGCACGCTTCAGCAGCTACACCAGACCACAACAAAAGCAACTGTCCCCATGGTATTATCCATAAGAATAATTAACAATATAGTAACGACAGCAACAGTCGCAATAGGAACACCAAAAACCGTAACAATAACAAAGTAAAAGGAATAATCACCACCATGAAAAAAGCAAAAACACTAACAATAACAACGACCCCCCAAAAAAATATTAATAATAAAAAAATAAGTATAGAATAAGAATAAGAATATGTATATACATACATAACACCAGCGACGGCAACAATGGCACGGCAGCCCCTCCCCAACCCCCCAACAACCACACAAGCATGAAGTCTGCGGCGCGTGTTTTCGCTGGCGAGGCCGCAATTCGTGTCAAGGCGGAGAGAACCGCCTAGATCCACACGAATAACAAGAAGAAAAAGGTCGGATAATCACGTCTAAGAATGATACGGTCAATCTGAAAGCAACGGCCTTTCCTTGGTTGAACAAAGGACGGACTGTTGAAGGTGATGTTGTTTTAATAGTAGTAGAAGTAGCAATAGTAGTACTGGCTACCGTCACCACTATTACTGATACTGTTTCAACAACTACAACTACGATTACAATAGCTACTACTTTTACTATTACTACTATTACTAACAACAGCAGCAGCAATAATAATAATACTAACACTAACGAAAATAATAATAGCAACAGCAATAACAATAATAATGATTAAAAAATATAACAATGATAACAATAATGATTAATAATAATAATAGTAATAATAATAATAATAATAATAATAATAATAATAATAAATAATAATATATATAAAAACAACAATAACAATAACAATGACCATATTAACACTTAACACTTAAAATGGTGACGACAATGATGATGATGATGGAAATGAAGATGAAGATGATGATGATGATATAGTAGTAGTTGTAGTAGTAGTAGTAGTAATAATAATAATAATAATAATAATAATAAATACATAATAATAATAATAATAATAATAATAATAATAATATAATAATAAATAACAATAACAATAATAATAATAATATATATCATCATCAGTATTATATCATTATCATTATTATTATTATTATTATTATTATTATTATTATTATTGTTATTATTATTATCAGCATTATTATCAAAATTCTAATCATAATCATGATAATGATAATAATGATAATACTAATAATAATGATAACAATAGTCATCTCAACAGTTCTATGGGCCTCTGCTATCCATTCTTTCTACGAAACTTACGACTTCGTCTTGGAATCCAAAAACACCAGTCATACCTCAAACTTTCCACTTTATATCCAGGTCGCTTTTCTGACATTGTGTTTTTTTCTCCTGGAACTCCAATTTTCTCTGACATTCTCGACAAGTAATTTACTTTTGGGCAATACGTTTACCTCCTTTGGGATCCGTCTCTTCTAAAGACGCGGATCCCACTGATTTAATTAGCCTTGTTTGGAGTAGACATTCCTGAAGTGAATGCCCTCAGCTGATTCTCGAATGAAAACCTACCACCAACTGAATATCATAATCCACGATTCAACACACACAGCACCACCGAACCTACACAGACCCGATCATAATAAGATCTATTAATTGCAATGCCACTTGCCCCGCCCCCGCACGCGTCGTCAGTAGTAGTTGCAATAGTTGTACTTGCAGGCGCAATCGCAGTGCAATCAGTGTCTTAGAAGGTAGTGAACTGGAGTAGCCGCAGGACTGGGTATGAAGTGATGATAATGGGATACAAATAGCACGCAGCTGCTTGTACTACTGCTGCTGGAATCGTGCCGCTGTTGCTAATGGAAGGGGAAGAGGAAAGGAAAAGGAAGAAGGGAAGGAAAGGAAAAAGAGAAGGGTAGGAAAGGAAAAAGAGAAGGGAAAGAGGAATGTAAAAAAGGGAAGGTGGAAGGAGAGGAAAGAAAAAGGGGAAGGAGAAGTGTACAGGAAATGAAAAGGGAATTGAGAAGGGGAAGGGGAAGGGGAAGATGAAGTAGAATAATAAAAATGATGATGATGATGATAAAAAAAAATAATAATAATAAGTTGGAAAATAAAGAGAAGGTGAATGAAAAGAAGGAGGAGAAGAATAAAGAGGAAGAGAAGGAGAAAGAGGAGGAGGAGGAAAAGAGATGGAGATGGAGAAGGGAATAGATAATATGATTAATGAGAAAGAAAATAAAGAGAAAGAGAAGAAGGGAAATGAGACGGGAAAAAAAGAAGATGGAGGAGATGATAGAGAAAAATAATGAGAAGGGGATGGAGAAAAAAGAGAAGGAAATGAGATGAAGATGGAAAAGGAGAAGGGGAGGAAGGGAAAGGAGGAGCAGAAAAGAGGTTGAGAAACAAGGAGAGGGAGAAGAGGAAGATAAATAAGGAGGAGAAGAAAAATAAGATGAAGAACGAAAGGAGAGGAAAAAAGAGAAGAAGAGGAAAGAGACGATGGAGCAAGAGGAAAAGAAGAAGGAAAAAGGAAAAGGAATTGAAGAAAAAGAAAGACATAACATAAATAAGACAAAAATGAAAATCAATAAGAAGACTAAAATGACAGGTAAATAAAATAAATTACAAACAAGTTATCAAGTAAGCGCAAATCTGAATACCATAGTTATCCCGAGAAGACATTTTTCTTCGTTTTCTCTTGTCTCGCACCGAATGATATCGTTTTCTGTTGTAAATCTCCTCACACACTATGGTAAACTTTCGTATGCGCATTTTTGCTTATGTTTTATTTCCCTGTTCAATATATTTTAGGTACTTTTTTCCTTGTAATCATTTTTTTCCCAATCATTCACGGCTTAATATCCGTGAATCTGCGGTTTTCCTTCGCAATGACTGATTCAGAAAAAAAAATGGTGTATTGTCTATTGTTTACGAAGCGACCGCATCCCTCTGAGACAAAACAAATCCTATTTACTCCAGATATACACCCGAGAGAGAGAGAGAGAGAGAGAGAGAGAGAGAGAGAGAGAGAGAGAGAGAGAGAGGAGAGAGAGAGAAGAGAGAGAGAGAGAGGAGGAGAGAAGAGAGAGTGAGTGAGAGAGTGAGTGAGAGTGAGTGAGAGTGAGTGGAGAGAGAGAGAGAGATGAGAGAGAGAGAGAGAGAGAGAGAGAGAGAGAGAGAGAGAGAGACAGTGAGTGAGTGAGTGAGTGAGAGTGATGAGTGAGTGAGTGAGTGAGTGAGTGAGTGGAGTGAGTGAGTGAGTGAGAGAGTGAGAGTGAGAGGAGTGAGAGAGTGAGAGGAGAGAGAGAGAGAGAGAGAGAGGAGAGAGAGAGAGAGAGAGAGAGAGAGAGAGAGAGAGAGAGAGAGAGAGAGAGAGAGAGAGAGAGAGAGAGAGAGAGAGAGGTGGGGGGGTGAGTGGGGGTGAGTGATGTGAGTGAGTGAGTGAGTGAGTGAGTGAGTGAAGTGAGTGAGTGAGTGAAGTGAGATGAGTGAGTGAGAGAGAGAGTGAGAGAGTGAGAGAGTGAGTGAGTGAGTGGAGTGAGTGAGTGAGTGAGAGAAGAGTGAGAGAGTGAGTGAGTGAGTGCGTGTCCAAAACATTGCCACATGAACCAAAGCTTCCTAAACCAGGATCTTCACCACCAATGACCCACCCGATGGCCACATTTTCCCTACCGGACCACCGCCCGATCGCCGTGGACTTCGCCCCGACCTATTTCCTTCGCCTCTAACGTTATTCTTTGCCTGTTTATACAATTTCATTTATCAGTAAGGGTAGATCGGCGAGTGTAATGTGCCCTCTTTTTCTATGACTGCGTTATTACATATTCCCTTTGTGCGCGTCAATATGTAATACACCAAAATATCACGTGTTGCACAACTTTATTATTATCAACATCCGAAGGAAATGCCATAG